CAGGAATGAAGATGTATGACCAGGCTGGTGTTAAAAAAGCAAAGTAGTTCCCATGCCGAGGTCCTCCTCGCGGGACTTTTCTGAAGAAAAGTGTCTCAATGTGTGCAGGAGGGCCCTGGAGAAAGCTGGACAGTTGGATGGATGAGATACGGGAAGATCACGCAAGGCTGGAGCTCTGGAGATGTCTGAGGGGAGATGTTGTAGCAACCAGCAGAAACAGAGGAGCAAACATGGCTTGGTTGCGTGGGCAGAGCTGGAGAGGAGGCCAGGCGGTCCCAGCTGGGCCTCTGGGCTTGTGGCAGAGACACGTCCCAGCCCTTGGCAGCAGGGAGGGGGAAACCAGCCCAAGGGATGAGCTGTGGCTCTGGGAACAGGGGGCTGCCGTGCTGTGGGTGGTGTTGCTCCCTGTCACCAGGCGTGTCTTCTGCCACTGCATCCTTCCCAGGGATGCAAACCTGTCTGTCCATCCAGGGGGGCAGGCTGTGGGTGGCACTGCCCTCCCTTCTGCCACCAGATGTTGCCTGCAAGCTCCTGGCCCTCCCCAGGGAGGAAGGTGGCTGCAGTGCCTGCCCAGCCCCAGCACACTGGGGAGCCTGCTGGTGTTTCCCCCGTGCACTGGGACGTGCTGCATTGGACCCAGCCAAGGTACAACGTTTTGTCTTGGTCTTACTTGGTGGCTGGTCCTGTGGGCTCCTCTGAGGGTCAGACTCAGCTGCTCCATGTCTCATGGGACTGTCAGGCTCTGCAAAGACCCTTTTTATTTACTGAGTGTTGCTGCTCCATAAATCTGTGTGACTGGCTTGTTATTTCTGTCATCATTACTTAGCATAAAGTGTTTGGAAATCGTTGCTGAGGGATTAAAGACTTCCCAGGCAAGTCCTAAAAAGGAAATGCTTGGAGTAGGAACTGCCCAGGAGAGGTCTATTCCCAGGAGTGTGGGGCAGTGTCTCTTGGAGGGTTTCACCAAGCTTCAGTGTCAGTTTGGAAGAGGATCTTCTGTTCTTTCCCCAGGAGCTCAATACATAACGTGTCTGACAAGCAACCACACCGAAGGGGCTGAACTTGTCATCCTCTTCACGTCTGCTCACCCTGGGAACCTCTCCGAGGAGACCTGCAGTGCCCTCTGTTATGCTGAAGACCAGGAATATGGAGGTTTCAGCCCCCAGGGGCAGTGTCTCTGTGGTGCTGTCCACGAAACAAACTCTTCCTCTGGTTGTTTGCCATTTTGCACTGAGCATTGGTCCGGGCAGGCCTGTGGTGGCCCATCACTTGTCCCCTCTCCCTTCCAGGCACAGCTGCCCGTGTCTTTCACAGGACTCCAGCCCCGGTACAGCCTCCACCAGGCTGTGCTCTTCAATGTCAGTATTCCCATTGCAGTCAGCACTTTACTGTGGGAATTTGGGGACCAGACAGAGGTTCTCAACAGCACTGGAAATGCAGCTGTCCACATGTATGCCTTACCTGGGCAGTACAATGTCACTGCCACCATCTTTGTGGGCACCAAGGTCTTAAATGTGCAGGCAGAAATTGAGGTGGTGGCTCCACCCCAACAGTTAGAACTGCAGTGCCCTTCCTTGGTCAAGACAAATGAGAGTCTGGACATACGGATCCGCAACAGAGGTGGCACTGGCCTGGCAGTGTCCTACAGTGTCACCACGGAGGCTGGAGAGCTGGGCAGGGGTAAGCAGGGCTGGCTGGGTGGGTGCTGGGCATGGGAGGGGTGGCACTGGGTCCTGAGCCTTCCCTTTCCATTCCTTCCATTGAGGAGAAAGAGATGACTCCTTTGAACACTCCTTCCTCCCCTGGCTGACCCAGCAGAGTTTTGCACTGTCCTGGGCCAAGAAGGTGACTGCAAAGAGTCCACTTAGAATCATAGAATCATAGAACCATTCAGGTTGGAAAAGTCCCTTGGGATCACCCAGTCCGACCATCATCCCTACTCCACACAGTTCTCCCCTAAACCACATCCACCAACACCACATCCAAATGACCCCTGAACACCTCCAGGGATGGTGGCTTAACCACCTCCCTGGGCAGCCTATTCCAGTCTCTGACCACTCCTTCTGTGAAAAAATTGTTCCTAATGTCCAGTCCATTCCCTCTTGTTCCATCACTAATTACCTGTGAGGAGAGACCAGCACCAACATGACAACAACCACAATGACCTTTCAGGCAGTTGTAGAGACTGATGAGGTCTCCCCTCAGCCTCCTCTTTCTCAAACTAAACATTCCCAGCTCCTTCAAGCATTCTTCATAAGATTTATTCTCCAGGCCCTTCACCAGCTTCGTTGCCTCCTCTGTCCTGGCTCCAGCACCTTGAGATCTTTCTGGAATTGAGGTGCCCAAAACTGAACACAACACTCCAGGGGTGTCCTTACCAGTGCTGAGCACAGGGGGACAGTCACCTCTCTGCTTCTGCTGGTCACACTGTTTCAAATACCAGCCAGGATGCCCTGGGCTTTCTTGGCCACCTGGGCACACACTGGCTCATTCAGCCGCTTGTCAGTTAGAACCCCCAGGTCCTTTCCTGCCAGGCCCTTTCCAGCCACACTTCCCCAGGGGAAGCACTTGCAGGGCCCAGCACTTGGCCTTGTTGAAGCCCAGACCATTGACATCAGCCCAACAATTCAATCTATCCAAGTCTCTCTGTAGAGCCTCCCTGTCCTCATGCAGATCAACACTCCTGCCCAGCTTGGTGTCACCTGCAGCAAAGGGTGTCACTTCAACAGCAAAGGGGATTTATGGGCTTCAAGGACAGGACTTTCCTAGAGCTTTGCTGCCTAGATTTGATTGGGTTTTTGTGGACTTACAGAAAAGACATCATGCCTATGTTCTTCTGCCTCCTGCAGCAGTTCACCCCATGTGTCCTCCTGATGGCTTGGTGTTCCCGGGCAATAACCACTGCTACCAGCTGGTGGTGGAGAAGGCTGAGTGGCTGGAGGCCCAGCAGCACTGCAAGGACCATGGCAGTGGAGATCTGGCTTTTGTGAGCAGCCCTGAGATCCAGAGCTTCTTGGTCGCTCATGTCATCAGGTAAGCAAGGACGGAAAGGGTTAAGGCTTCCTAGGGATAGGTCCTGTGTTCCTGGGGTCACATCTGCAGGGGAGCTTGGAGGAGGGTCCTGCTGAGCCTGGTGCAGCCACCCAAGCTGGAGAGACACAGGCCCAGGCTGGGTCCAGGGAGATGGCAGGGGTGAGACACTGAGCAAGGAGGAGGGATGAGCAGAGCTCCCTGCTGAGCTTTGCTTCTTCTGTGGTGGGACTGTGAGACTGTGGTGGGAGGAAGAGGAATGGGGCAGAAAGGCTGGAAGTCAGAGCTGGGAATTGCAGGATTGCTGCTGGTGGGTGTCTTGTTCTCCATGGTTGTGCCTGTGGGTGTGTCTGAAATGGTGCAGGGTCAGAGCGCTGGGCTGGGCAGCCCCCCTGGGAGCTCAGCAAAACCTGCAGGGTGGGGTTGGGTGGTGAAGATCAGGTGCTGATGTCCAGGGGGTGTTTGGCTGCCAGGCAGGGCCTGAGGGTGGCCTTGCCAGCAGCTCCCTCCATCAGCAGAACTGCAGCAGGGTTGTCCTGTGCAGGACACTGTGTCATCCAGCAGCCTCTCTGGCACAGCCCAGGCCAGTGCTGCAGCCCTGCCTCCCTGCACCTTCCTCGGCACAACTGCAGCCTGAAGCCCAGACCTTTTCCCTCTCCTTTCTCCCCCTGGGTTGGAGCAGTGCTGAGTGTCAGGCTCCAGGAGCCCCTGCTCCATCTCAGAACCTGGCTATGATCAGCAGTGAGCACTGAACGTGTCAGTCCTTGGGGAAATCTGCCCCTCAAAGAGCCCTTCTGCAGCCAGCCCTCTTGGGGGCAGGACGACCAGGAGAGCTATCAAGGGCCTGGCAGCTCTTGTCAGCACCCCCAGATGCAGATGTTGGAGATGGCCTCTTCATAAACACGGCCCAGAAAGCACATCTGAAGGGAGCAGCTGCTGGTGATGAAGGCCTGTCATGCTGAAGCTCTGACAGCCCCTTCTTCCCAGACTTGTATCTGTGCCCTGTTCCCTTCACACTGGGATTTATCCTGAGATTGCAAACATGTGGTCCCTGCTCTGGGGAAGAGGAGTCTGTCCCTTCCCGTGGGTTAGGGACTGGTCACTGGATGTACTGAGTTGCCAGGCATTGCATGCAGGGCTTTCCATGGACAGCAGCACCAGGAAGTCATGAGATCTTGGAGGGGAACGAGCTGCCCAAGCTGTTTCCCAGCTGCTGCCCCACATTACTCTCCTCCCCGCCCCCCTTTATTTCATGTATTTATTTTATTAATCCATTCAGGTCAACATGAATGAGGCAGTTCCAGGATGCAATTTCCTGGGCGATAAAAGACAAATCAGCCGAGCTGCAGGTTTTTGGAACATGCAGCCTCCGTAGTTTCTTGTGGGAAAATGACAGAAGCAGGGATCTGTTTCCCATTAGAGCAGCAGCAGGGGCTGCTCCTCTGCTTCCCTCCTGACGTTTGGTGGCCTCCCCAGGGACACTGTGTGCTGGGCTGCTCCCCTCCCTGCCTCTAGAACCAGGATGCTCCAGCTCAACCCCTTCCAGGGGACCCTGCTATCCCTGCTCTCCCCTTCCAAGCCTCCCCAGGCTTCTTTCTGCTCCTGCTTCCCCAGGCAAAGCAGCTCATCCCTCCCCAGAGGCAGAGGGGTGGCCACGTCTGCCTGCAGCCCAGCAGGGCCAGACCCCTCCTGTTGCTCACTGCCAGGTACGGGGCAGGGGTGGGAAGCCAGCCAACCTGTTTCTTCTCTGTGTGGTGGTTTTTGTTGGTTTTTGTTTTTTTATGACTTGCAATTAGATCATAGCTGGAATTAGAAAAGGAAAATCTCTGTCCAGTTTCAGTGAGGGCAGCGAGGGGCGGGTTCTGAGCCCCCTCCCCCATCCCACCAGTGCCAGGAGTGCAGCGCGGCCCGTAGGGAGGTTTGAATCTTCCTTGCCATGAAAACTACTGGTTCACAGAGCAGTTATTTTTGTCGTCGTTTTTCAGCCTGACCTCACTAATCATTTCATGCAGCCTGGTGAGCCCGGGGATGGAGAGGCACCAGTTACAACCCAGGCCTGCCGCTGTCCCCCCAGGGAGCAGAGGGGTGAGGATGTGGCAGAATTGATTACAACCTGCTGGGGGGAGCGTGGAGGAGAGGATGGGGGCCTTGGGGGTGCACCATGAAGCTGCCCCCCCCAAGTTAATATGGAACAAATGCTTCACTTTCTACTGGGTATGATTAGAAACAGTTGGCCAGGCTGTTTGTGGCTCTGAGAGGCCACTCGTTGCCTTCCACCAGGATCTCTGTTGGGATCCAGCCAGTTTCCAAGTGTGGAAGGGACATTTCATCTTGGCAAAATGATCCTGGCAGCTCCTCATGTGGGGGTTCATCTGCCTGTAGTGCTGCCTCTGCTGCCTGTGTCTGGTCCCTCTGTGGCTGCTGCCTCTCCCTGCTGCCTGGAGAGCTGCTCAGCTCCCAGCAGCATCATCAGAGATCCCTCGATTTGCACAGGAGCTCCCAGACCCGGCACCATCCAAGGCTTAATCCTCCACTGGTGCCAGTTCCACTTGGCGGTGGAGAACTGACTGGTGCCCACTGGGCAGGGTGATACTAATAAACATACTGATCCAAAGGAAGCAACTCCAGCTCGGGGAAGCAGGCGATGGGCAGTTGGAGGGAGCACTGGGAATTCTGCACCTAACAAAGCCTTGTGGTTCTCCTCTCCAGCCAGTGTGATCTCATCATCCTCTCTGACATCAGTTGTGGCTGGTATGAATCAGCGTGTCATGAGCTCTGTTGTGCTGATGGAGCCTTTCACTGGCTCCTCTTGTGACCTGGGCAAGAGAGCCTGGCTTTGTGGGAAAGTGGCCACGATGGTCAGGGATCTGCCTTGGTGGCACCAGCCACCCCCAGTGGCTTCTCCCTCCAGCTGCACTGCACTCTGCTGCTCCTGGCGATGGCTCTGTCTGCATCCTTGTGGCTCAGCAGTCCCCTCGGTGTCTCAGAGGGCAGGTGGCTTTCAGTAGCTCTTAGTACAGAGGTTTGAAGGTGTGACAGCAGGATGGTGTGCTGTGAGGGAGCTGGGGCTGAAGAGCCAGGTTCTGGTGGTTGAACGAAGACTGAAATCCTTTACTAACTAAAAGGCTCCATTCAGTGCAGCCTGTGACACCTGGTTGAAGCTGTTGTTAAGATCATTATTTTCACAGAGAACCACAGATGGCACCTGTCCCAGACCTTTCTGATACTCATGATTTCCTGAAATCCATAAACCCCCCCCCCTTCTTTTTTTTTTTTGAAGGAGCCTCGATGTCTGGATTGGATTCAATGATTTTGCAAGCCCTGGAGCACAGCAGAGAGGTGAAGGATTTAATCTGGAGAGCTGTCAGAACTGGCTGCCAGGAGAGCCCCATCCCTCCAACGCTGACCACTGTGTCCGGATGGGCCCAACGGGCCAGTGCAACACGGACCTGTGCATGGCCAAGCACAGCTACGTCTGCGAGTACAAGCCAGAAGGTGAGCTCTGCTCCCCTCCTCCTGCCCACCCTGCTCACCAGCCTGTGCCAAGGGAAGGCAGAGCTGCGTGGAGCATCTGAGCAGCACCCCAGATAAGAGGGACTGGCAACAACCACAGTATTCCCACTAGAAGCTTAACTGATAAACTTCCAGAAGCCTGGTCTTGGCCCAAAGAGGAGAATTTGGCCCACTCCAATGTTTGCCATCAGTAGAAGTAGAGAGAGGAGCAAAGCTCTGAGGCAGAGCTTTGGAAATAGCTTTCCTCTTTTGTTTGAGCAGTCCAGGATCTGAGAGCCTGTTGCTGCCCTGGGGGCCCTTGCTGTCCTGTGGCATCTTATGGTTTGTGAAGTGATGGAGTCTCGTGACTTAAAAGTCTGTAGAGCCTTGGAGATCCTTTTGCTGAGCTTTTATGTGCTGTGCAGGTTTGTGTTTCTGCAGCCTCCAAAATCTCCCAAGGCAGTATAGGGAGTAAGAAAGAGATGTAGAAGGGATGTGAAATATAGCAGAAGATTTAGTTAAGAAGGACAATCAGCACTAAGAAGAGAACCCGTGGCCCTGGTGTGCTGGTCGTGCTGAGTCCCTAGCACCTGACCTGGCTGGGAAGGAGCCAGAGGTGTTGGCCACTGGTGGAAACCAACTGGCTTGCAAATGCAAACATCACTTGTGCAGGATGAGAAAGAAATCAAAACACCTGTAAGATGAAGGAGGAAACTACAGGATCACAGCAGCTGCTTCTCCAGTGAAGCTGGAGTTAGAGATCCTTGCATGGTCCAATCCTGCTACAGCTTTGCTGTGCAGTCTGAGAGGGCACGAGCACGGGGAGGGAACAGGTTCAGGCCTTGCTGGGTCTCATGAGCTTTATTCACATCTTTCTTCTGTAAACAGGAGTTCTCTTAAATGCTGAAAACTTCTTCGTGGGTGACCCTGTGTTTGACACACGTGAAGCTGTGAGGAGCGTGACAGAAGATGTGCTGTCAGCTCCATGGCAAGCTGTGGAGGTAAGAAGGGTTTGCTGCTCCTGCTGCTGCAGAGGGAGCCCAGGGAGATGCAGGCAGGTCAGAGCCTTGTTCCCTTTTGCAGGTGATGGTGTTCCCTGAGCTGGCGTTCAGGAACGAGGGATATTTGACTGCCCTGGAGTTTGTGGCACAGGATCTGCATCAGCCTGTTCAAGTGAGGTTCCAGGTGCATAGACCAATAGATGGAGAAGGTGAGGCAGCTCCTCTCAACACTTGTGGTATTGTTAGAGCTGGTGCCATTAGGACCATGTAAAACTGAGTGTGTGTGGCCTTCTTGTGGCCCCTCTGTCTTCAAAGGAGAAGCTTTGAAGCCTTGAAGGCTCAGAGATTTGGTTCTATTTCTTGAGGAGACTAAGGTGCAAAATGAGCAGGTTGTGGTTGGACAGCCTGAGGTTGCCTTCGAGAAGTGGTTGTCCTGGAGAAGTTAATAGAGGGAGACCTGTCTCGATGTGTGAAGGAAATGTGAGTGTAAGGAACACGTGTAGAAGCAAATTAATATTCTGAGCTGTACTTTTATATGTTGGGAAGACATGACATGTCAAATGAGGATGTGTTCTGGTCCATCTGGCCCCACAGGTTAACAAGGAAGAACATTTTCCTGAGCCTGTTTCTTCCTGATGGATGAGATAATCTAACAATCCCTCAATTCATGTACAACAGCTCGATAGTCACAGTTTTGGCAGCAGTTAATTTTGCAGCAGAATGTTTGCTGTAGCCCTAGGGTTGGCTGGTTACAAAGGGATATTTTTTGACACTAAAAAGCTGATACTTTGACATGGAAACATTAACTTAAGAGAAGTTGCTTAATGTGTTTTCAAGGTCAAAGCCAGCTCTGCTTTTGCTTGGACTCGCTTTCGTTTCAACATAGATCCCTTTCAGAATGGGAATTGGTGCATTCCCACTGGAAAAGAGACTGACTTTGTTTTTAACATTCTTTCTACCTTTCTGAAGTTTTCCTGTAAAACAGGACACTTGTTTCGTGTGGTACCAGGATCTGTTGTGGCTGCAGCTTTTACTAAGAGTGGAGAAACCTGGTGAATTTGGAGTGAAGAAGTGCACTAGAAGTGTTACATTTCAGGATAGTGATCTTTGCTTTCCCTTTCACTTCTTCCAGATTACCAGGAGGGAGAAAATACTACAGAACCCTTTCCCACTGCTCAGGATGATGGGAACTGGACTCTAGTTGAATGTCCTCCTGGTTTCCAGTGGTGTCATTTGACTAATTTGTGCTCATCACTTAACAACTGCTGCAACACGACCGAGTGTGCCAACAGTTCTCTTGCCAGCAGCCCTGCCCCTGCTCCCCCTCAGCACGATGGGAGCCAGCTCAGCTACGAACTCCTCAAGGAATTTCTCTTCACAGTACCAGCTGGCCCTTCTTCCCAGTATCTGGTCAGTGTTTATTAGCTGCCATAACCAGCAAGTAGGTGGGGCAGTTTTCTCTGAGTGCTTTGGCTAAATAGAGCATAGTTCCCAGCTTGCAGATGGAGGTACTGAAGTCCACTCCAATGAAATGACTTGCCCAGTGTCACACGTGCCACCACCTTCTGTCTTACCTGCTCGGGGCCAGGGACTCTCTGCCCTAACCTGTTGCCATCACACAGTTGGTCAAAAGGCAGTACTTAGGCAGTGGATACAGAGTGTAAAGCTGACTCCTGTGGTAGCACATCTGATTCAGAGTAGCTGAGGAGAGCAGAGTGGTACAGTGCCTCCCCGTGCAGCTTTTCTGCCTTTCTGCTTATTCCACTTGGCAATAAATCCAGCTGTCTTGCCCTGGCAAGAGTGGGGTGCTGAGCGCTCTTAATTTGAGGCATTAATCAAAAAATATCTCCTCCCTCTGCAGGTCACATTCAGAAAAGAAAGTATTTTTGTCATGGCCAAGGACATCTTCAGTATCCAGCACGATGCAGGCTTGGGCTCCCTCCTGCAGTGCCAGCCCAGCACCACATCCCCCTACAGAACCAACGTCTTCAGCACGAACTCCTCGGAGTGGGCAGGGGGCCTGTCTGGCAGCCCCACTGATGCCCCCTGGGTGAACAGCACTGTCTGCTCTCTCCGGGTTCACTACGCTGAGGAGCAGCTGGTCCCAGTGATCAGCCCCTCCAACGTGGGGCTGGAGCACCCAGGTCGCTACACGGTCAGAGCCAGCGTGGACAACGGGGTCTTCAGCACCAACCTGTCCTGCAGCTTCTGGGTGTCCTCCTGGGTGTCAGGGCTGCGTGTCATCCACCCGGCCCCTCAAGGCAGCAGGGTCTACCTGCCATCCAACCACACTACCCTGGTGGTCAAGCTCTCCTCGGGGGTGAACGCAACAGCCAGCTGGCTGGGGGACAACCACACCTTCCCCTTCCAAGGGTCCTGCCCCGTGGCTGTGGCAGCGCTGACAGCAGAGTGTGCCCGGGAGACCAACGACACCTGGTTTGCTGTGGTGACCCTGGGCGGGCTCAGGGGGGGGCTGAGCACCCACGTGCTTGTTGCAGAGAACGCCGTGAGCTCCCAGAACATCACGGTGGTGGTGAAGGTGGAGGAGCCCATCCGTGGGCTGCGGGCCACCCCAGACCCCGAGAGCA